ACTCCCTCTGACAACACGACTCCCTCTGACAACACGACGCCCTCTGACTCCTTCTGACAACACGACTCCCTCTGACAACATGACTCCCTCTGACGACACGACGCCCTCTGACGACACGACTCCCTCTGAGGACACGACTCCCTCTGACGACACGACGCCCTCTGACAACACGACTCCCTCTGACGACACGACGCCCTCTGACTCCTTCTGACAACACGACTCCCTCTGACAACACAACGCCCTCTGACTCCTTCTGACAACACGACTCCCTCTGACGACACGACTCCCTCTGACAACACGATGCCCTCTGACTCCTTCTGACAACACGACTCCCTCTGACAACACGACTCCCTCTGACAACACGACGCCCTCTGACAACACGACGCCCTCTGACAACAAGACTCCCTCTGACAACACGACTTCCTCTGACAACACACGACTCCCTCTGACAACACGACTCCCTCTGACAACACGATTCCCTCTGACAACACGACGCCCTCTGACTCCTTCTGACAACACGACTCCCTCTGACGACACGACTCCCTCTGACGACACGACGCCCTCTGACGACACGACGCCCTCTGACGACACGACTCCCTCTGACGACACGACTCCCTCTGACGACACGACTCCCTCTGACGACACGACGCCCTCTGACTCCTTCTGACAACACGACTCCTTCTGACAACACGACTCCCTCTGACAACACGACTCCCTCTGACAACACGACTCCCTCTGACGACACGACTCCCTCTGACAACACGATGCCCTCTGACTCCTTCTGACAACACGACTCCCTCTGACAACAACACGACGCCCTCTGACAACACGACGCCCTCTGACAACAAGACTCCCTCTGACAACACGACTCCCTCTGACAACACGACTCCCTCTGACAACACGACTCCCTCTGACAACACGACGCCCTCTGACTCCTTCTGACAACACGACTCCTCTGACGACACGACGCCCTCTGACGACACGACTCCCTCTGAGGACACGACTCCCTCTGACGACACGACGCCCTCTGACAACACGACTCCCTCTGACGACACGACGCCCTCTGACTCCTTCTGACAACACGACTCCCTCTGACAACACAACGCCCTCTGACTCCTTCTGACAACACGACTCCTTCTGACAACACGACTCCCTCTGACAACACGACTCCCTCTGACGACACGACTCCCTCTGACGACACGACTCCCTCTGACAACACGATGCCCTCTGACTCCTTCTGACAACACGACTCCCTCTGACAACACGACTCCCTCTGACAACACGACGCCCTCTGACAACAAGACTCCCTCTGACAACACGACTCCCTCTGACAACACGACTCCCTCTGACAACACGACTCCCTCTGACAACACGACGCCCTCTGACAACACGACGCCCTCTGACTCCTTCTGACAACACGACTCCCTCTGACGACACGACGCCCTCTGACGACACGACTCCCTCTGAGGACACGACTCCCTCTGACGACACGACTCCCTCTGACGACACGACTCCCTCTGACGACACGACTCCCTCTGAGGACACGACTCCCTCTGACGACACGACGCCCTCTGACAACACAACGCCCTCTGACTCCTTCTGACAACACGACTCCTTCTGACAACACGACTCCTTCTGACAACACGACGCCCTCTGACAACACGACGCCCTCTGACAACACGACTCCCTCTGACAACACGACTCCCTCTGACAACACGACTCCCTCTGACAACACGACTCCCTCTGACAACACGACTCCCTCTGACAACACAACGCCCTCTGACTCCTTCTGACAACACGACTCCTTCTGACAACACGACGCCCTCTGACAACACGACGCCCTCTGACAACACGACTCCCTCTGACAACACGACTCCCTCTGACAACACGACTCCCTCTGACAACACGACTCCTTCTGACAACACAACGCCCTCTGACAACACGACGCCCTCTGACAACACGACTCCCTCTGACAACACGACTCCCTCTGACAACACGACGCCCTCTGACTCCTTCTGACAACACGACTCCCTCTGACAACACGACTCCCTCTGACAACACGACGCCCTCTGACAACACGACGCCCTCTGACAACACGACGCCCTCTGACAACACGACTCCCTCTGACAACACGACTCCCTCTGACAACACGACTCCCTCTGACAACACGACTCCCTCTGACAACACGACGCCCTCTGACAACACGACGCCCTCTGACAAACACGACGCCCTCTGACAACACGACTCCCTCTGACAACACGACTCCCTCTGACAACACGACTCCCTCTGACAACACGACGCCCTCTGACTCCTTCTGACAACACGACTCCCTCTGACAACACGACTCCCTCTGACAACACGACTCCCTCTGACAACACGACGCCCTCTGACTCCTTCTGACAACACGACTCCCTCTGACAACAGGACTCCCTCTGACAACACGACGCCCTCTGACTCCTTCTGACAACACGACGCCCTCTGACAACACGACTCCCTCTGACAACACGACTCCCTCTGACAACACGACTCCCTCTGACAACACGACGCCCTCTGACAACAACACGACGCCCTCTGACAACACGACTCCCTCTGACAACACGACGCCCTCTGACAACACGCCTTCATCTGCTTTTCTCTCCAGAAGGACCGCACCATTTTTGTTCAGGCATCATTCAGAGTCACCATCTACTTCCTGGACTGAGATAGTCAGAGCTCAGAAATGACACAATCATGGAAATCCGGGTGTCTGTATGGTTCTTGGCTTCACCAACGTCTGACACTGCAGCTACAAAGTTACAATGTACAGTCTGATCACTGGGGGAGGAGAGACTGGAGAAATGCCTCCTCCTCCTCCTACAAAGTTACAATGTACAGTCTGATCATCGGGGGGAGGGGAGACTGAGGAAATGACTCCTCCTCCTTCTACAAAGTTACAATGTACAGTCTGATCACTGGGGGAGGGGAGACTGAGGAAATGCCTCCTCCTCCTCCTACAAAGTTACAATGTACAGTCTGATCACTGGGGGAGGGGAGACTGAGGAAATGCGTCCTCCTCCTCCTACAAATTTACAATGTACAGTCTGATCACTGGGGGAGGGGAGACTGAGGAAATGCCTCCTCCTTCTACAAAGTTACAATGTACATTCTGATCACTGGGGGAGGGGAGACTGAGGAAATGCCTCCTCCTCCTTCTACAAAGTTACACTGTACAGCCCGATCACTGGGGGAGGGAAGACTGAGGAAATGCCTCCTCCTCCTTCTACAAAGTTACAATGTACAGTCTGATCACTGGGGGAGGGGAGACTGAGGAAATGCCTCCTCCTCCTTCTACAAAGTTACACTGTACAGCCCGATCACTGGGGGAGGAGACTGAGGAAATGCCTCCTTCTACAAAGTTACAATGTACAGTCTGATAACCGGCGTGGTACCTGGCGGCGGCTTCTGAGAAGAGGATCTCAGTAGGACAATGCTGCACCGTGCACATATAAGAGTTTAGAGGCAGAAAAACCCACTCTAGTGCATCCAGGCACAGCAGCATCTTGGCAGAAAAAATGCTCGACACGTGTTAGGGCAATCAATACCTGATTATCATGGGAGAACTTTGATTAGTAATCAATACCTGATTGTAAGGTGTAGTGCTGTGATTGGCAATCAATACCTAATTGTGAGGGGTGGTGCTGTGATTGGTAATCAATAACTGATTGTCAGGGGTGGTGCTGTGATTGGTAATCAATAACTGATTGTCAGGGGTGGTGCTGTGATTGGTAATCAATAACTGATTGTCAGGGGTGGTGCTGTGATTGGTAATCAATAACTGATTGTCAGGGGTAGTGCTGTGATTGGTAATTGATAACTGATAATCAGGAGTGATGCTGTGATTGATAGAAAATAACTGATTGTCAGGAGCGATGCTGTGATTGGTAATCAATACCTGATTGTCAGGGGGAACACTGTGATTGGTAATCAATACCTGATTGTCAGGGGTGGTGCTGCGATTGATAATTAATACCGGATTGTTGAGGGGAGCACTGTGATTGGTAATCAATAACTAATTGTCAGGGGAGAACTGTGACTGGTAATCAATACCTGGAGGTGTTCAGTATTACAGGTAATTATATAACAGGCCGGGCCTTTAAAGTGCCAGACTGGAGAACTCTCATTCCATTGTATACAGCAGAGTCTTCACACTCACAAAGCCGCTACATTTAGTGTAGAGTGACGTATACCTGGTTGATCCGCCTCCAGCTGTCCCTCCCATCCTCTCTGTGTCCTCACTGCAGCCTGAGATTGTGTAGACCAGCTGGTGTCCTCTACTGAGCATGCTCCATTTTCAGTTCCCTTCTAAGCTTTCCTTATCTGTGCAGCCCACATGACTAGAGAGTCACACATGTGGGCGTATACACAGCAATGACACTCCCCCAGCCCTTCCCTCCTCCTTCTCCAAGCCCTGCTATTGCTAAGCGCTGTGGGGGCGGGATATAATATGCTCATTACATTCACTAAGAAACTCACCAAAAAAGTTGAGTTTTAGTATAAACCATTATTAAATATAACAAATGTAATAATAATACCTGAGAAGTGAAGAAGAGCCTGGGGTGCAGATGAGCAAATGAAAGGTTGTGCAAGTCGTCTCTGACTCCGCCCACACCATAATAATGCACAAAAAATACACATTTCATGTTCAATAAAGATTTATAGGAAGAGCGGAAACAGATTTGGGATATTTATCATTTTAAATTGCTCTTCTAAAACTGTTTTTTTTTTAGTCATGTGACAGGCACAGCACCAATCAGGGCTGCACAGACTCCTACTGCAGTAATGGAAGTCCCTCCCCCAAGGATCTTTCGCTGCAGATGCCAAAGAACAGGGAAATATCATGTGACCACACAACAGCGCTGCAGGAATAAGGGACTTAAAAAAAAAAACACAAACAATCCCCTCCCAGTCATGTGATTCAGGTGTTCCAATCCCCTCCATATCATGTGATTCAGGTGTTCGAATCCCCTCCATATCATGTGATTCAGGGGTTCCAATCCCCTCTCAATCATGTGATTCAGGTGTTCCAAAACGCTCCATATCATGTGATTCAGGTGTTCCAATCCCCTCCATATCATAAGATTCAGGTGTTCCAATCCCTTCCATATCATGTGACTCAGGTGCTCCAATCCCCTCCGTATAATGTGATTCAGTTGTTCCCATCCCCTCCCTATCATGTGATTCAGGTGTTCCAATCCCCTCCCAATCATGTGATTCAGGTGTCCCAATCCCCTCCCAATCATGTGATTCAGGTGTCCCAATCCCCTCCCAATCATGTGATTCAGGTGTCCCAATCCCCTCCATATCATGTGATTCAGGTGTTCCAATCCCCTCCATATCATGTGATTCGGGTGTCCCAATCCCCTCCATGGACACAGGTGTATACAATCAAGCCCCTAGGCATGCAGACGGCTTCTACAAACATTGGTGAAAGAATGGGTCGCTCTCAGGAGCTCAGTGACTCCAAGCGTGGTCCCGTGATAGGTGGTCACCTGGGCAATAAGTCCATCCGTGACATTTCCTGGCTACTAAATATTCCACGCTCAACTGTTAGTGGGATTATAACAAAGTGGAAGCCACTGGGAACAACAGCCACTCAGCCACCAAGTGGTAGGCCACGTCACATGACAGGGCGGGGTCAGCGCATGCTGAAGCGCACAGTGCGCAGAAGTCGCCAACTGTCTGCAGAGTCAATAGCTAAAGACCTCCAAATTTGGTGTGGCCTTCAGATGAGCCCAACAACAGTGCGTAGAGAGCTCCATGGAATGGGTTTCCATGGCGCGAGCAGCTGCATCCAAGCCTTCCATCACCAAGTGCAATGCAAAGCGTCGGATGCTGTGGTGTAAAGCACGCCGCCACTGGACTCTAGAGCAGGGAAGACGTGTTCTCTGGAGTGACCAATCACGCTTCTCTGTCTGGCAATCTGATGGACGTGTCTGGGTTTGGCGGTGGCCAGGAGAACGGTACTTGCCTGACTGCATTGTGCCAAGTGTAACGTTTGGTGGAGGCTGGATTATGGTGTGGGGGGGTGTTTTTCAGGGGTTTGGCTTGGCCCCCTTGTTCCAGTGAAGGGAACTCTTAAGGCGACATTTTGGACAATTTCATGCTCCCAACTTTGTGGGAGGAGTTTGGGGATGGCCCCTTCCTGTTCCAACATGACTGCCCACCAGTGCACAAAGCAAGGTCCATAAAGACATGGAGGAGCCAGTTTGGGGTGGAGGAACTTGACTGTCCTGCACAGAGTCCTGACCTCAACCCCATAGAACACCTTTGGGATGAATTAGAGTGGAGACTGCGAGCCAGGCCTCCTCCCCCGACATCAGTGCCTGACCTGACAAATGTGCTTCTGGAAGAATGGTCCAACCTTCCCATAGACACCCTCCTAAACCTTGTGGGGGGCCTTCCCAGAAGAGTTGAAGCTGTTATAGCTGCAAAGGGCGGGGCCAACTCAATATTGAACCCTACGGACTAAGACTGGGGGGCCAATAAAGGTCATGTGTGTGGAAAGGGCGGGGCCAACTCAATATTGAACCCTACGGACTAAGACTGGGGGGGGCCATGAAAGGTTGTGTGCATGGAAAGGGCGGGGCCAACTCAATATTGAACCCTACGGACTAAGACTGGGGGGCCATTAAAGGTCATGTGTGTGGAAAGGGCAGGGCCAACTCAATATTGAACCCTACGAATTAAGACTGGGGGGCCATTAAAGGGCATGTGTATGGAAAGGGCGGGGCCAACTCAATATTGAACCCTACGGACTAAGACTGAGGGGCCATTAAAGGTCATGTGTGTGGAAAGGCTTACAGTCTTATCTTGCATACTAGGGCCAATCAATGTGTCTTCTTTGGAGCGTGGGAAGATACACATGCAGGACATACAAACTCCATGCAGGCAGTGTTCTGGTTGGGATTCACCAGGGATCCTATCACCGCAAGGCACAATAGAGAACCATGACACCATTGTTGTGCCCCGAACATATGGGATATAGGAGAGTCTTGGGGAATCTGTAACTAAGGATGAGACCTAAATGTCCGGCTGGGCCCGGCCTTGGAATGGTCAGCAAAGTTCTGCAGAATTCCTCTCTGCCGTATACTGTAACTGAATGGAGATGGGGATACAATGGAGGGATATACACAGCTGTCCAGGGTCCTGAAATATACGTCGTGTGGTCAGATCATGCTGAGCAAACTCGCTGCGGCTCTGCAGACAGCAGTGGGAACTATTTAAGATGAACACTTTTCTCCGATGCACCTTTATAAAGTCCACATGGAAAAAATGCTGCTTGTGAGAACATTAATTATCAATGCAACGGAGAACTAGGGAGGAATAGTGCCCCATCATTGGTGTCAGTGGGAGGAATAGTGCCCCATCATTGGTGTCAGTGGGGGAGGAATAGTGCCGCATCATTGGTGTCAGTGGGAGGAATAGTGCCCCATCATTGGTGTCAGTGGGAGGAATAGTGCCGCATCATTGGTGTCAGTGGGAGGAATAGTGCCGCATCATTGGTGTCAGTGGGAGGAATAGTGCCCCATCATTGGTGTCAGTGGGAGGAATAGTGCCGCATCATTGGTGTCAGTGGGAGGAATAGTGCCGCATCATTGGTGTCAGTGGGAGTAATAGTGCCGCATCATTGGTGTCAGTGGGAAGAATAGTGCCCCATCATTGGTGTCAGTGGGAGGAATAGTGCCCCATCATTGGTGTCAGTGGGAGGAATAGTGCCCCATCATTGGTGTCAGTGGGAGGCATAGTGCCCCATCATTGGTGTCAGTGGGAAGAATAGTGCCCCATCATTGGTGTCAGTGGGGGGAATAGTGCCCCATCATTGGTGTCAGTGGGAGGAATAGTGCCCCATCAATGGTATCAGTGGGAGGAATAGTGCCCCATCATTGGTGTCAGTGGGAGGAATAGTGCCTCATCATTGGTGTCAGTGGGAGGAATAGTGCCCCATCATTGGTGTCAGTGGGAGGAATAGTGCCCCATCATTGGTATCAGTGGAAGGTACAATGCCCCATCATTGGTGTCAGTGGGAGGAACAGTGCCCCATCATTGGTATCAGTGGGGGGAATAGTGCCCCATTATTGGTGTCAGTGGGAGGAATAGTGCCCCATCATTGGTGTCAGTGGGAGGAATAGTGACCCATCATTGGTGTCAGTGGGGGGAATAGTGCCCCATCATTGGTGTCAGTGGGAGGAATAGTGCCCCATCATTGGTGTCAGTGGGAGGAATAGTGCCCCATCATTGGTGTCAGTGGGAGGAATAGTGCCCCATCATTGGTGTCAGTGGGGGGAATAGTGTCCTATCATTGGTGTCAGTGGGAGGAATAGTGCCCCATCATTGGTATCAGTGGAAGGTACAATGCCCCATCATTGGTGTCAGTGGGAGGAACAGTGCCCCATCATTGGTATCAGTGGGGGGAATAGTGCCCCATTATTGGTGTCAGTGGGAGGAATAGTGCCCCATCATTGGTGTCAGTGGGAGGAATAGTGACCCATCATTGGTGTCAGTGGGGGGAATAGTGCCCCATCATTGGTGTCAGTGGGAGGAATAGTGCCCCATCATTGGTGTCAGTAGAGGAATAGTGCCCCATCATTGGTGTCAGTGGAAGGAATAGTGCCCCATGGGCCAGATAATGGCAAGCAAAGGGCAAGGGCTGCCCCCAGTTTGGACTCCTTTGCTTTGGAAGAGTCGGAGACTAGGGATGTTACATGATACTTCTAGTAATTTCTGTTTTTAAAGGCACCTTTACAAATCAGAGCTCCCTCTGACTGTTGGGGCCCTCAGGCCATCGGTGGCCCTCGGGCCACTCATTTGGTGCCTGTGAGTTCGACAATATTCACGTTTTCCTGGATTTTAGCTTTGATTTGACTTTTATCGAGCTCAATGCCAAAATGAATCATTTGAGTTACGCCATCGCCGCCTCATATCGCAGTTTTTCCCGCGTCAGAGCGATCTGCGTTGTTCCGTGATTCTGGCGTTTAGTTCTGGTTTGTTAATTTCCTTCTATTAGAACGCTCCTTAATCGCCGTGTTTGCGTCATGCGTCATTCTCCCGCGGATCATTCCTGTCTGTCAATACCGCTAAGAACCCAATTAACAAATCTATTCCCAGCATTGGTTCGCAGGCGGAGCAACGAGGTCCCCGATCCCACGGACGCATCCAGAGACAATCTTCAGAACTGACAGCCTGAACCCCAAATGATCTCTCGTCAGTCTGCAGCCGGCTCTCTGCTAAACTTTATTCGAAGAAAAACAAATAAAATGACCAACATCCTTCCTCCGCGGCTCTCTCCTCCGGGGCCGTCTCTTCTACCCGGAACATTCAATACACGAGGCAATTCTGATACAATTATCGCAGGCCTTGTATGAGAATGCCGAGGAACCCAAGTCCCATGACAACGCACACCGCTGCCGCGTCTTCTTCTGAAATTTGGGATCTTCAGCTTTCCCAGAATTCCCAGTGACATCACCGGAGCCTACGGGAGGAACTGGGAAGCCGAGGTGTAAGGTGAGAATTATTTTCTACCTTTTACTTCAAGTCTTTTAAATGTTTCAGGAAAGGAAGGAAATTAGGGAGAATATTACCTGGTCTGATGGGCGGGGTTCCATTGTCTGTTTACATCCAGCGCCCCAACTCTTCACTACAGTTCCAGTTCTATGGGACTGGCCTCCACCATCTCTGGTACTGAAACACAGCGCCATAGAAGTCTACAAGGCTGTAATGTGTTGGCATGACCAGGACAGAGGAGACATGTATGGCTGGATGTAAACAAACATCACGTGTTCACTGTCCTGGCTGCACCTGTATATTACCGCACCAGAAAATTCTATGGCCATCTCATCCCCCATCTTGGGACACAGATCCATACAAATCTATGGAGCTTCTTCTTTCTGCTTCTCCTTTCCTCTTCTTCTGTCCTCTTCTTTTTCCTCTTCTTCTTCTTCCCTCTTCTTCTTTCTTCCTCTTCTTCCTTCTTCTTCTTCTTTCTTCTTCTTCTGTCCTCTTCTTCTTTCTTCTTCTTCTTTCCTCTTCTGTTTCCTCTTCTTCTTCCCTCTCTTTCTCTTCTTCCTGCTTCTTCTCTCTTCTTCTTCCTTCTTCTTCCTTCTTCTTCTTCTTTCCTCTTCTTGTTCTTCTTTCTTCCCTCTTCTTCTTCATTCTTTCCTCCTCCTCTTCTTCTCCTTCTTCTTCTCTCTCCTTCTTCTTTCTTTCCTCTTCTCTCTCCTTCTTCTTTCCTCTTCTTCTTTCTTCTTCTTCTTCTGCTTCTTCCTTCTGCTTCGTCTTCTTCTTTCTCCTTCTTTCCTCATCTTTTTTCTCTTCTTTCTTCTTGTTCTTTCCTTGTTTTCTGTCCTCTTCTTCTTCTTTCCTC